TCTATCTGCTTCCATCAACATAGAATATTTGCGTACTTCGATTATGTTATGAAAACCATAAATTGGAAACGTAATGCACAACGGAACTAAATTTCCACAAAAAAAACTCATTTGCAATTTGCAATGTTTTTTTGAAAGTTGCACAAAATAAAATACTCTGTTATAGGAACAATTTTTAGATAACATTAAGTTTTCGAAATTTTCAAGTGTTTCCGAAATTCCAAATTTTTGTCGCATAATGGAAATAATTTTTCACTATGATGATCTTCTGAACCACAGTACATTTTTCGCAAATGTTCAAAAAATCGAACTTGGATTTTAGTTGAAATTACTGAGAAGACAAGAGATAAAGTTTGAAATATGAAGGAATTCAGAAATTTCTCAAAAACAAATAATTTACAAATGACCGGCATTAGCCAAACTTCCAAATCATTTTTGTTTCTCGAAGGTCCAAAACCTGTTTTTTCTCCCATCTCCCGGATCCTCTATCAACCATTGATCTGATCAACCGAATATCCTTCCGTTTGCTTTAAATTATTATCTAAAAAGATCCGTTTTGCTTTCATAGATATCGTCAATTATCACTTGATATTACATTTTATGCGACCATTCAACAAAAAATTCCTGAAATATTTCATTTTATGAATTCTAGATTGATTCATATCAGACATTGTCCAATATAAATAGAAAATTTCTCTCTTTGAAATTCGCTTCATCAAATTTCATTAAAGTTTTAAAATCGTTTGTCACATTTTTGATGATATTATAGTAAGGAATTTTTTAAAATATGACCAATAAACAACGATCGTTCATAGGGAAATAAGGAGTTTAAATAAGAAGAAAGTTGCAGTGTGAACGTAAAGAGAAGCTGAAAGTATTTTTGGTAGGCATTTTTCTTCCGTAGGAGTTTAAAGACAGAGATTTAAAAAAAGTCTAAAGAATTTCAACCACTATGAAGTAACCAATTTCAGATTTTCAGTACCAATGCATTTTCTCGGTATTTTCTTATCGGTCATTAGCGTTGTTTCCATGATTCAAGTAAGTTCCCTAATTGATTGTTTCTGAATGAGGTAAAGTTTATTTGAAAAAGCCTTTCAGTACACATAAATTTTGCTTTCAGGCTTGCCCATCACGTACAGGACCTCCAGGTCTTCCAGGTCCGCCAGGACGAGATGGACGAAAGGGAAATCCAGGAAGGAGAGGATATCAGGGAGCTGAAGGAGATGTGGGAGATCGTGGACCAGTAGGAAGCCCTGGAATTCAAGGTATTCAAGGTCCTCCGGGAGATGTGGGAGAGGAAGGAGAAAAAGGAAGAGTTGGAATTTTAGGTCAGAGAGGGGCGAATGGAGGAAGATAGAAAGCATGTGTCGGAGACATTGAAATAGTCTCTCCCGGTGATATCGCTTTTTTTGCTTTGATTATTTTTGTTTGCATCGAAATATCGTTGACGTGGTTTCCCCGGAAATATTTGATTTATGCAGAAACCGCAGATATCTGGCATGATTTTTGTGCATTAAACAAACTCTTCAAGGAACAATGTGTCGCTTCAGACGAGCACATTATTTCGAGTTAAATTTTAGACGGAAACAACTTTTCCCCCATGCTTACCTTTCTCCAGATATGTGCCATTTTTGACGAACGAATTAGAATTTACAACATCATTTCTGAAGTTCGCTTCGACATTCGACAGTTACTTACATTTGTTTATTAAATTTCTTTGGTAGCGAATTAGAAAATTAGTAAATCATTTCATTTTATAACTTATATTAAAAACAATTGACTAATTATGATATGAAAGGAAATCTCCTTCTTACTGCATCACATTTTGACGGTCTGGAAAAACAAGAGAATTTGTCCGACCGCTGTAATAAAAAGCATGTATGATAAACCACATAGGAAATATTGGTGGTGATAGCTGTGAATGACATTCGAACAATGCTTGTACAGAGAAGCTCACGTGACAAGGAAAAGTCCGGAAACCGGTCTGTTCAGATGGAAGGCCAGTAGCAATAGAAAAACTGTCAAAGGCAAAGCAGACTTTCCAAGTGGAGCGTTTTTATCGGTTTTTAGTGGGTCAGTTTTTGACTTGGTTTTCCTAGATTTGATTCTCTCTGCTTCCACCAATACAGCATATTTGCGTACTTCGATCGTGCCATGAAATCATAAACCTGAACTCATAATCGATAGCGAAACAGAATTTCTGAAGAAAAAACTTATTTTGCAGTGTTTTTTTGAAGATTACATAAAAAGCGAATACTTTCTTGTAGGAGCAATCTTTAGGTATGTTAGGCAAACTAAGTTTTTCATGAATTTCAAATTTTTCAAGCGCTTTCGAAATTCCAAACTTTCGCTATACAATAGAAGTAATATTTCACTATGATGGTTCTCCTCATATTCAAAAAATTGAATTTTAATTTCAATTGAACTTACTAAAAGTAATGTCGCGAATTTCGATTCGCGAAACTTCAACCATACAAACAAATAATCAAATGAATTTTTTATTGTAAACGGATTTCCTAATATCATGACTCATTCAATTAATTCTGCATTGCTTCAAATTATTTTATGACATTCTTGTTTTAACCAAATCCACATCTTCATATTCACACATTTTGGTACAGTATTTCCTTTGTTAGCAATTACTCAAATNNNTCCTTTGTTAGCAATTACTCAAATTATCCATCTTAATTACCCTTTGTTCAGACAAG